ATAAAACCATATTCAGTTTATCGGAATAGTTAAGTGATTCAATTTTATAGTTTATCTTTCCAACTACTGATCTGAAGCTTGTTTTTTTGAATCGATCTCTTTATGATAAGAAAAATGAAAGAATAATTTTGATGATTTCGAGATGTTTATAATTCTCTCATTTTTGGTTTACTGAAATATTTAATTTTTACTTTTTTCTGAAACATTTATATATTGATGTTAGTATATTTCACATGTGAATAGTAGTGGAATCCAGAAGGTGCATTTCATCTTGTTTAGGATTTTTCAGCTGGATTTACCACCACCGCATTCCTGATACTTATACCAATCCATATGAAGCACCTCTAGTTTCACATGTCAACACATAATCCATTGAACTTATGATAAATCACCTTATCGAAATAGTTTGTCCGACAACAGAGTTCGATAACTTGTAATCCTAAATATAAACGAGAAATTACAAGCCCTTTCTTTTATACATATAAGGCTTTTTAAAAGAAAATAGTTGTTAAGCTTATTCCTGTATCGAAAATTAACTTATATCAAATAAGTGATTAGCAAAAGAAGGAAGAAATATTATGACTACCATGGTAACAGAAAAAATTTATAATTTAACTAACTTATTGTTATATGATAAACTAGGTCGATTCGGATATGTTTGCGTGTTGAAGAAAAATAATTCAATAGATTTTTTGACAGTTTTAAAGATACAATAAAATCTTTACATACATAATGTACACCTGGTATTTAAATTCACTGGACAATAGAAGCAACAAAAAAACTTATTTATTATTGTAAAAGTTGTAAATTTCTGACTTCAACTTTCCTCTAATAATGATAACCTGGAGATCACTACCAACTGTCAGGTACAATAACGGTAATGATAACTAAAATGATGATGATGATAATAATAATAATGAATATGATAACAGCAACAGCGTTGACATGATGATCAACAATAAACATGAAATAAATAAAAAGTAACCTTAGTTACTAAATTCTATTTGAATAAATCTAACATATATCTATAATGAAATCAAAGGTAGAGTTTATTTTTTCTATTTTCAACAGTTGACTCGAAGTAAAGAATAACCTAGATTGAAAAGAAAAGAAAAAAAGTTGATCTATTAATCAGTTTGATTAGTTGTAATGATGTATATTTAATTTTGTTTCTCTTCATTTCTGTTTTTGTATCGTATACAACAGATCATATTAAGATTTAAATATATAGAATGAGCGTTATTGGGACTTCTTATTATAGAAAGTGATTTATAAATCATAATCTCATTTCCTACAAAATACAGGTCACAAATATAACACTGTTAAGCATGTCAAAGCAATAAACTGATGAGAAATTTAAAACTAGGACGAAATGATATAACAATGTTTATTTAGTGATATTGTTTAAAAATGAATGAGATTCTTTTATGACTGAAGATAAAAACATAACTATATCTGGGTTCGAATCTCGCAAGGTGGGATCGTGAATGTGTAATGATGAGGAGTCCCACAATAGGACGAAACGGCCGTCCAGTAATTTCAGGTTTTCCATGATCGTCTAGTTTCAATTGACTCATGATTTCAACTATGTTTAGATTTTTTTAATGATTCAGTGTAGTTTTTTTGCTGAGTATGATAGTTGATACTAATTAATCTACTGTGTCACTTCTGTTTACTTGACTTTTGTTTAATATTATACTTAATTGTATTGATTCTCTATAATTTTACAGTTTAATAATTTTCTATAAATGGTAGTCACTGAGTTTAATTAAATGAGTGAAATTTAGTTCTTATGAAGTCTTTATTAATAAACACTCCTTGTAAATTTTGTGTGCTGAATGCTTTAGATTTAAAGAGTAAAAATAGCTGTCATATTATAGTTTGAAGTATCGTTAAAGTAGGCGTTAACATTAAATCTCATACCACAAGTCAATATCAAATGTTGTCAGATTTTTGACTGTTCTCTAGTTTTATATAGTTGAGAGCATGAGTCAATCGAAGCTAGACAACCATGGAGAGCATGGAAGCATTGGACGGCCGTTTCGTCCTATTGTGGGGCTCCTCAGCAGTTCGTATCCACGATCCCGTCTCACCAGATTCTAATCCAGCACCTATTAGTTTCGCGTGCGAGCGCTTAACCACTAGACCACTGAGCCGGCATCCAACGATGTTAATATCTAACTTCTCTAGTTGATTTCGGTTACTGTATCAAATTATAAAAATAATCTTTAAAAAATATCACTAGTCGGCCAAAAATAGTTGATGTGAAAATTTAAAGACATTTTTATGATCTATACCAAAACTCAAAATTATAAAAGTAGACGCTATTGGTTTTCTGGGGAAGTGTAAATTGAATTTTTACATAATATACATGAATTTGTTGTTTTCTTCAACTGAAACGATATTTTTAGATTAATGGTTTGGACAATTTTGAAGAAAAATAGAAAAAAGGAGACTATTTCTTTATAATTAATTGATATACATCAAAATAGTTTTATTTAGGGTATGAAGCTTGTGGAGATCATTCACTGTGAAGATGGTCATTACTACAGAGTGAAATAGACTGACGAACCATTAAAAAGTCGAGCAACTAATTCAGTAAAACTGGGAAGTGTTTGATAATTCCTACCCACGACAACACCAACGGGGGTCAGATTTAAGATCTTTAGTTCTTGAGGCTCAAATAAGATGTTTAAAGCACTTTGTTTAAATTCGATGATTCATATTTTTAACTTAACTGCAGACATTTGGACGAAAATATGAATCTCAATTTCATCCTGAATAAGTTCAGCAGTTATTACCCGTCAGTTAAATTCACTTTAGATGCAGAATGGGATTCATCATTTGATTTGCTTGATATTCTATTAAAAATTACCATATGGCTCTTTGAAGGGATCTGTACAAAGAAAATCAAATCGGAATGGTCAATTTGAGAGTTTCCAAAGCTGGGTTCCATTAATTGGGAAAAGAAATCTGATTCAGTCTTTGTTCTCGAGGGCTCCAAGGATGCAAGAGACGACAAAACATTTCAGCTTTGATAAATACTCATCAGAATCGGGTAACCATACAGATTCACCCATAGAAACTCGATATCAAAACTATACTTTGAAAAATCACCAACGATTCAGAAAAAAACTCCTCATAAATACCGAATTTCAAAAAAACACTGTTAACTAAATCTTGCTAAAAAGAGGTTTAAGTTCCCTGAAATAAGACATTCTCCTCAGAGACGCTTTGTATTATCTCCCCCACCTTGTCTACCAGTTATGAGTGTGTCAAGAATAAACTTTAGCCCTGGGAATCGGACATAGTCATCAAGGCCACATAAAGCATTTGGCAACAAGTGGGAAGAAGAACCCAGAACGCAGTTAGTTAGAGATTTCTGATCAAAGGTCTATTCCCTAAGTGGGGGGGGTTAACAAGCTTAAATAAGTAAGTAAGCACAAATAAACCAAAATGATATCCATTTATAAGTTCGTTTGACCTTGTGTGCAGACTGCGTTGGTACTTTTCTAACCAATCAATATTTTTATGAATGGGCACTAGTGATTCCATTCTATTAGTCAACGTGTGACCTCATAATTAATTAGTGTAGTATTAGATTACTCAACATTTAAATTAATGAACTTGGTAACATTTTTAATAGATAGTTCGATCTGTTTTGCGTTAAATGATAACAGTTTTATGAAGATCATGTCGTAAATCTGAAATTCACAAACTATGATAAATACTGAAAACATTGTTTTGTGTCTTTTTTTCGAAATAATCATGATTACTAATGTAGGTACTTTCTGAACACTTCGTAAGTCTTTGAACAGATATAACCATTGCAAGAACTGTAGACTAAAGGAAAATTTGCATCGGTCAAATGAAAAAATAGAGTATAGATAAAAAATAAACGAGTAAAATTTAGAGGTAGTAATAACAACTAATTATAAAGTTCATTATTACAGAAAGAGAGATTGAATAATCTATTTTTGTATATAAAGATTGTGGTTGAATCGATAATTTTTTAGAGCCTTTACAGTTCATACGTTCTTAAATGATACTCCGTTTGACGTAATTCATTTGATTGAGCGTATGTCTTTCAAAAATAATTCTACCGGAGTGATTTGATAAGAAACAACCAAGTGAACGAGAATTAAGTTTTTAATTGACTTATGTATTCTTGTAGGCAACTATACAAGGGAATATCAACATAAACTATTAGAAAGAACTTGTTTTCTTTGACCGATGTAACTTAATCTGCAAGTGTAAGAAAGCCTATAGATATAAATAATTATGACGTAAAGTTGTAGTTTAATCTTAATACCACGAATTAAAGGATGGCTGTAAAAAATTATACGAGACATAATATAGTGTAACGCTTATCTCAGTAATCTCGAAAATTTATATTTCAGAACTTGTGCAGCATTGTTCAATTTAGATTAAATGTTTATGAAAAGCTCACTTCAAAACTAGAGTTGACCTTACTCTTGGCTGTATTAGTTTTTTCAACGAACCCTAAAGGATAGTCACTTTGATAAGCACTTTCCCGATACATGCTTTTTTTGCAGGTTTTATCGTCGATACATATTTCTCTGGCCCTCAAAAACAGGGAGTGAGTCAGGCTGAAACTCAGAGTTTGTGGTACACTGTCATTAATGAACCTCAAAGAAGTATATACTGACTTGGTACAATAACTCAAAAATACTTTTCACTACATAGTGATGCCAGATGGAGAACTTTTCTATATTCTGGATTGATGAATAATTGTTTCATCTTACCTAGGGACTTGTCACTTCAATACACTTAAGACCATACATATAATTGATCATCGGGGCCCAAAAATCCTGCGTTGAACACGATATTAGTTCAGGACATTGAATCAGAATCCATTTTTACATATTTCAAATTCATTCATACATAGTAACGTATTTCAATACATATTAATATCATTATTAATGATCTACTATATTACTATCTACTCAATTCATGCTTGAAAATTATCATTAAGTTATATGGATTCTTCATGGAACATCATGTAACCTGAATACAATTTTTATTCAAAAATGCAGGAATATCATCAATGAGACAGACGATGATGATGATGATGATGATGATGATGATGATGATGATGATGATGATGATGATGATGATGATGATGATGATGATGATGATGATGATGATGATGATGATGATGATGATGATGATGAATACTGTTACTCAAAATGATCATACAAAAAACGAAAAAAAGTATTGATCGAAATTTTGAATTGTTTTTATTTTCGTTCCTTCTTTTTGTTTAAATATTGTTTTAAATTATTCACTGTCATGTGTTAAAAATGTGCATAATTTGAATTGACTTGAATTTGAATAATACAACTTTAAGTATACTGAAATTTGTAACATAATCAATGTTTATAATTAAAATCAATTTTGTTTTGAATTAATTAACATGAATTAATTATTTAATGAAACAAATAGTTAAGTTATTGTCGAATAAATTTCTCATAAAGATTACTCTGATTTGACTAATAATACATTTTGTTATGGATTAAATTATTATCAGAAGAGGGTTTTGTAGAGATTTTAGTAATTTAATAGTTGAATTCATGAGTCAATGGAAAATCTGGAGATACTGAACGGCGGTCTCATCCTAGTATGGGACTTCTCAGCATGTGCTCACTAGTGAGTAGCTTCAAGAGGTATTTCCTGAAGTTCTAGTGAGAAGCTGTGAGCAGTGGAGTTCAACCAGATCTCTTGTGAAATAGTAACTCACTGGAGACAATGGTGGACGGTGGTGCAATATCGTGGATTTGTTGAAGTTAGACATTAACACCGTTGGATGCCGGGCGGGTCAGTGATCTAGAGGTTAAGTGGTCACGCATGAGACCGATAGGTCCTGCTTTCGAGTCCTGTGAGGCGGCATCGTGGTTACGCACTGCTGAGTAGTCCTATAATAGGACGAAATGGCCTTTCGATGCTTTCAGGTTTTCCATGGTGGTCTAGCTTTAACTGACTCATGAATTCAACTATTAGATTAAGTTATTGTCTTATTGTAATTTCTATTTAATAAAAAAATCCTTCATTTCATATAAATTTGTGTTAGAAATCGTGTCGAAAGAAGATTTGACCAAAAACTGTTTTAATATTACAGTCGGTTGACTGAATGATTATTTAATAATAAAGACTAGTGAATGGTACACAATACTTTATCGAGTTGGTCTAGAATTAATGTTATTCCTATCAAATACTAATAATTAATACTTTTTCAAATTATGAACTGAAAACATAAAATCACTGGATGGCTGTTTCATCCCAACATGGGACTACTTGGCTGTATGCATAATAATAATAATAATAATAATAATAATAATAATAATAATAGTATATTCTGAAAATAATATTTACAAAATCCACACCAGTTTACAGGCATGATCAGATTGATATAAAAATCAACATTTAATGTAGAGAGCAAACATGAAATATAAGAAAGTTTTATGTTTGCTGGTTCAGTAATTGTTAAGTAGTTTATTTATGACATGTATCACGGCAAGCCAATGCAACACCAGGGAACTTGTCATTTTTTCTTAAGTGGATAGCCTGATGATTAATCAACGTTGTTCTGTAAGGTTATTTCCAGTGCCAGAGCGAGTTATTGATAATTATCTACAACTAGAGAAAGTAAGATAACCAAGAATCCAATCTGGAACCTTTAGTCTCACGCACGAATCTTTGACCTTTACATCAATGAGCCGGGATCCAATTATATGCAAGTTAAACATCCACGATTTTGTGTGACCATCTTCTGTTGTCTCCAGTGGGTACTTTCCTAACTTAGATCCATTCGTGAATTCAATCAAACTTACAGATCCTCATAAAATCTATACTGATAATTTTTATCTAGGTTCTGGAAAATTGACCTAAGCTATGGCTATTAAATCAATGTGGCTTCAGATAATGCTTACAGAAATATTATATATTTATAAGAACTCTCGTCTAAATTAGAACGAATAGTTTCACAGTATTTGAGCGCCGAGTTGAAGTAAGACATTAAATAGGAATAATATATTTGTAAAATCTCAGCGAATGAATTTTTTAAATTAAATACAACGTTTCGCCTGGCAATCTGGTCCAAGCTTTTTCAAGGAATTAATTTAAGATAATTCCTTGAAAAAGCTTGGACCAGATTGCCAGGCGAAACGTTGGATTTAATTTAAAAAATTCATTCGCTGAGATTTTACAAATATATTATTCCTATTTAAATATTATATATTGTTATAATAATTTTTTTTCTGTAAAAATCACAAAAGTTAATTGTCATTTTTATTGACCAAAAACAATTCATCTATGTTTCACTACGTATGTAGAATAATGCTTGCTTCTTATGCTTACGCCTGTTACTCCCAATGGAGCATAGGCTGCCGACCAGGTATGTAGAATAAAATCATTGTAAATTATTGGACATATAATAGTAGAAAATTTTCACTTCAACAGTTCCTCATTAAACAGATTTCATATTAGTTGATAATCCCAATATTGTGACATTTTAGTCAGTACGCTCGTGATGTCACCTATTATTATGTCATAACACTTCTTATCACGTTTTATCCAGTTGTTATCCTCTGTTACATCTATTTACTAGTCTAACGTGATGATGAATATCAGTCTATAGGAGGAAAAGAAATTATAAAAATATTACACATACAAATTACTTCTCTTTTATTTGCTAGTTCATATGAAGTCATGTGTCCCTCGTGTTGTTTGAAATGATACGAAATTAAGAAATAAAAATTCAGAATTCTCCCCCATTTGTGGATAGCAAGACAGCAATTAATCACAATCACGTAATTTGTTGCGTAGTTGTCAGTTAATAAAACTTACTAGGCCAACAATCTAACCAGTAGGAACAGACCAATCAATTCGAGCTACTGTAACAAAATAACCAATCAGATTAAACGAAATGTTTTGCTGAACCAATAATCGTATGGCCCATGGCAGGGGACTGAAGGGTTCGATAAATACATCCATTCATTATAAATTCTATTCTTAGTGTTATATTTACAGAGAGAGGGGACGATGATACACATTCGCAATAAAAACGAACTTAAATGTTTCGACCATTTCATTGGTTTTAGATCATGAAAGAAAAAAATCTGTAATTTGGCCAAACCACACATTGATTTGTCTGCCCTGTCCAACTCAAATTTTTTGGTCGGATGTCTACCTCTCAACTCCGGTTTGCCAATGTTCGAGGTTACAGCGAATGTGGGGGCAGAAAGTGGGCATGGGGGTGTATATCATACAGATTTGCACTCGTCAACTTCGTCACTTCATTTTTAAAGCGAAAAAACAACTTAAAAAGAAAGAAAGAGTGAGTTAATATTGGTAGCTAAAACATTGTGAAATATTAATTTCTCTACGAAACTTTGAAAAATCGGGATAAAAAATTTTTCAGCAATAACTATCGAATTATCTAACACATTTACAATAGTTACTTGGGTTTCGATGCATATTGTCCTACAAATTTTGTAATATCATCTATACAAAAAATTTTCAAATAAATTAATTATATCTGCTCATGACAGACTCACAGATTCTACTTCCAATAATGACAATTAAAGGACATGAAATGGACAATACATTACATATGGATGAATCAGTAGATAATGAAAATTATATCGGTGATTCATGTGACAATTTAGATGATGATAATATATCATTTACATCGAATGATCTATCACAGAAGGTTAATCATCATGAAAATGAACATGAACATCAAGACACCCGTGATCAACATCAATTCAATGTTCAACAACAACAACAACAACAAAACTCTCCTTATAATCTTGAAAATGAAGATGGTCCTGAAACACATAATTCTGACGAAATATCATCTAATATTAATATGACTGACATTAAAATGGATACAATGGAAGACATGGAAAAAGATGATAATTCTATGAATACTTATCAAGTCAATAGTAAACAACAATTTAATGACAATCAATCATCGAATTGTCACCAACAATTGACAAAAATTAACAAATTATCCAATAGTTCAACTAGTACTAACACATCAACAAATACTACTACTGCCACGAAAGCATGTGCTAAAAAGTCGTTTGTATGGAAATATTTTCATCATCCTGAAATAAAACACGGTATACCAGATCGCAGTCGAACACAATGTGTTCTATGTGATAGTCAATTAGCTTTTAATGCATCAGGCACAACAACCACTATGTTAAATCATTTAAAAAGTCGTCATGGGGAAATCGCTGAACAAGAAGAGACATTACGTCGACTTAATCGTGATTCAAGAAAGAATCAACTACGTAATATGATTTTATCATCTAATGATTGTAAATTATCACCAACTAGTATAAACAGTAATAGTACAATAATAAAGAATGAAATGATTAATTCATTTAATGAAAATACACAAACTATACGAAATTTATCAACAAATCTTATAAATGGTAATAATAAATACAATCGTGGTACATTATCAGTTGGTCAACGTGGTCGGCCTCCAGGTTCAGGAAGAAGACAAAAATCTATGAATTGTTCCAAATTAAATGAGAATGTGGATTTTTTAAATCAAGATACTATAACGAATGGAAATTTGAAAGTGGAAGGAAATGCAGTTTATCCAGTTGTAAGTGTTTAATCATTTTAACATTCTTGTGATTCGATGGTTTAAAAAAATAATAAAAATCATCACTTATAATATCCGATCTTTGAAACAATGTGACTTTTATAATGCCTAAAATCAACATTAGTTGGCATTACACTCTTACATTAGAACAATTTCTATTCAACTACAGCTGAAACAATTATGATCTCTAAAACATGGCTTATTATGAGTTTTAAATATTAATATTTTCTAAAACCATACTTAATTAAACTCGACATAACTAGTCTGTTGTACAAGCTAGATTTTCATGCATTTCAGATATGGCTAATTATATGTATATATTAAGTTGTTACTCAAATGAATCTGGTATCAATAATGTTACACAATTATTCACTACATAGATACACTGTTAAACATATGGTTTAAAGCCATTTTCATTCAGGAGTAAGGTTCCTGCTTTGACTACACTAAAAATTTACCTGCATGAGCAGTTTTTTACGGTTTTAAGAGTCGGTTGAAGAGGTAAGGCTTATTTCTTATGCATCTTCAAATAGTTTTATGCAATTGTTATAAAGACTTTTAAGAATATATTGCTTTTACTTCCTGGAGTTGATATAATTCACATGGGATTACATCAAAAACGAAAGATATTTACTTGATCGACAGGAGAGGATTAGATAATTGAGCTATATCTCTCCTATAGAGTGGATTTTTGACCCAATTAGTTTTAGACCACACTTATTATCTACTTTCGACTAAATTTCAGGTTGTTGTCAACCAAGAAATATCAAATATAGTGATTTACATCTAGTTTGATAATAAATATATACAGTAACGATGTTCTACCTACACATACTAGATTACTTCTTATTCGTATGCATACATTTCAAATGGTTAATTCTTGATTATTTTCTAATTGATTTCAATCAATTAATTTTATTGTACGATAACTGTACATTGCTACTTATAAAATTATCAGTATAGGATTGTGGAGATTGTTGAGTTTAAATTGATATATCATGAATGGATAATTGTTAGACCACCAGTGAAAACACTGGATGACTGTTTCGTCCTAGTATGAGACTCCTCAGCAGTGCACACCCACGATTCCTCACACGGGACTCAAACCCAGGACCTTCGGTCTCGCGCGCAAACGCTTAATCCCTAGACCGTTGAGCCGGCATCCAGCGGTGGTAATATCTAACTTCAACCAATCCACGGTATTGCGCCACCGTCCATCATTATCTTCAGTGAGTAACTGCCTTACAAACGGCACAGTTAAACAGCACTGGTATGACTAAGTTACATTATTATTTGAACTTTCAACAAATAATCAATTGTATTAAAATTACTAAGATCCTAATATCAAATATTAGATATATCGTTATGCATATTTATCTTAAGTTAACTAAAGTGTAAATTAATCCATTTATACTAGATCAGTCAGAATAATGAAAGAGATATATAGGCTATTCAGTAAACTCTCCATTTTATTTAAAATCTAATAAAATCATGTATGAGTTATTTAAACCAAGTAGTCTAACGTGTATCATGCTGAGTACAAGATTGCACACACTGCGAAATTTCAACTAATTATTATTATTATTACTATTATTATTATTATTATTATTATTATTATTATTATTATATAAACTGAAGTTTCAGGTAAACTACCAATTCAATGGCTAAATAAGAGTATTTGTAATTTACACTATATAAATGTTCATTTCGAATATGTTATGGCATGATATTATTCAGTGCAATACTCCATGTCTTTTAACATATCCTACAGGTGATTTTGATATGATTATAGTTTCAGTTTTAGTTATAAAAGATATTTCAATATAATATAGGTGGTAGGAGATGATCAACAGAATCCAGTAAATATAAGTTCTGCTGGTAAAACGTTTCTGTAATCTTTATGAGATCAATGCTTTCAGTGTACTAGTAATTCACCTCCTACCTATATTTCATCTGATATAACGAGATAATATAATTAACCTGCATACGCAGAAACAGTTGGAGCAAAATGAGTATGCCAACGTTTACTTAATTATTAAATCGTCTATGAAAAAGTTTCAGAAATCGCCTTCTACTACCATGAAATTTAGCATATTTTAGACGATATCACCTATTGTCATATAAAATGATAATCATTTTCCTGTATTACTTACCAAACTTATGATTGTTAACTTAATTTTAACATAAAATCATAAAGATGTTAATGAAGTAGGTAGTGCAGTCACTTACCAAGCCATAAACAATGTAGAACCTGACAAATATGTGCATTCGTACAGGTTTCTACGCTATATCAACACAATGAAATGAAATCACCGAAACAAATCCTTGACTAGTAAAAATAACAATAGTATCAATGATAGTAAAGAAGAATAAAACGTAAAATATACAATTCGTGAAGAAAGAATAATAATTTTGAAATTCAGAATATTAAAGGAGACAAACTATGAATGTATCTGTAAACACTGTGACCTATTCTGAACCATATCATGCAAATTCTCTAATCATTGATTACAATAATAAGGCAGACTACAACCAGATACTCTTAATCTATCAGCACGAATCACCCCAGTGGCCAATAGCTTTATGAAGTAAACACGAATAATTAACTCATATTAATGATGAGAAAAAAATGAAAAAAATAAGACCAGAACCTAACAGTCTTAAATAAAAGTGCCTTTGAGTTTAAGACCAAGAATCTTAATTTCAGGTGACTGGGCAGTTGCTCGGAATTCCCTAATATTATCTCTCTATTTTTGATTGCCCGTATTCATTTCAGTTGTATATGATTCCAATTTATAATTGAATAATTTAACTATTTATATATAATGATATCTATCTATTTATTTTATTATTAAGATGATTTATATATTACTGTCTATGTTATTTCATTCAATATTGACCTTTCTCCTGTATAGATATTTCTGATATCAAAAGAACACACATTTTTATTAGTAGTATCTTATCTTAAGATCATCATAAAAATATAATGTTATATATTATCTGATATACATATAATCATTTTGTTTTCTCTATAACACTTGCCAATTTGTATTATGATTTAATAGTATTATTTGAGGAATTTCACCTAAACATTATGATTCTAATTATAAAATAAGGGTTAATTATTGAACAGATGGATGATATATGATTTAGAAAAAGCTGGTATACATAATCAGGTTTAATGAATAAAAGCGAATGACCGGTTCATCATATTATATGTATATATAACATCTTCAGTAATCTATCCTATTTGATTGTATGACTACTTTGAGAAGTGTAACTTATGATGTTATTTGTTATAGTTGAAATTGTGAGACAGTGGTCTATCGGTTAAGTGCTCTCGTGCGAGACTGGTAGATCCTGGATTCGAATCTCGCGAGATTGTGTTTGCGCACCTCTGAGGAGTCCCGCAATAGGACGAAACGGCCGTCCAGTGTTTCCAGCTTTTCCATGGTGGTCTAGCTTCAATTGACTCATGCTTTCAACTATGAAAATACTGTAATCTCCACAAAACCCCTTCTGATTTTATTTGTGTAAAGTTGAACACAGTAAATTCGTTTGCTTTGAACTATTTATGATTATTTACTGTTGAGTATTGTTTGTTCTCTCTTTTAGATCTAATCAAAGCTAGCGATTATTGTAATTTGTGATTTCAGAAATTGAATAATTTCATTTTGAAAGCTGTTTAGACTTTTCAACTTAAATACATTCTGAAACTATTTGTCTTTATCTAATGTGAAGTGATAAGTGAAAATTCTCGATTAATTCCATAAAATTTATATAAATCCATCTAAGTGATTATGAGCTCTCCACTGCCTTAGAATTAGTGTTCGAAAGCATTTTTTGAAGTTCGACTTTCAGTGTTTAGACGAAACTACCTGATAGCCTGATGTTGAGAAGAGTGGGTACCAAAATTTGTTTGATACTTGTGCAGTATGTCTCCTCATGAATCGAAGAGGTTATAAGTGTACACTGTGTACCTGCGCTCCGTCCTATTTGAGTCTCATCAGCTGGATGTACCTGTATCTCAGAGTTGATGTTCACTCTGAGACTCGAAACCAGTACCTTTCGCATCAAACGCCATCGCGTTATCCACTCAGCTACTGAGTGCTGATAGCCACTTCATTGTGCAATGGGGTGAAGTTTAAATTCAATTGGTATTGTTTGTTTGAATCTTCCCATTTATGTTTAGGACTGCAATTGATCAGTCTCTTATTGGCATATACGCATACTGTGCATATTGTCTCGATATAACCTTGAATCAATTCTGGGACGCAGGTACATTCAGATGATGAGTCCCAAATAGGACGAAACATACGTCCTGGATTCCACTGCTAACCACTATTCAACTATCCTTATAATGCTTGTGAATTAAGGCTACATCGAGACAATACGCACATTATGCACATATGGCCAATAAGAGACTGACCAGTTGCATTCCTAAACATAAGTGGGAAGATTCAAACAAACAATACTAAGTGAATAAGTCCTATATTGTTTAAAAATATCACTATCTTATCATTCATAAATAAAAGTTTATTGATATTACCACTATAGTTCAAAATATCAATTACATATTGAAACTCAAAATATTTATTAACTTATATAAGAACTTTCATCTAAATTAAAGCTAATAGTTTCATAGTATTTGGGCGGCGAGTTGATATAAGACATTAAATACAAAGAATATATTTGTAAAATCTCAACGAATGAATTTGAAATAAATCCAACGTTTTGCCTGACAGTTTGATCTTAGAAAAAGTTAGGACCAGATTGTCAGACGAAACGTTGGATTTACTTCAAATTCATTCTCTGAAATTTTACAAATATATTCTTCCTATTTATTAATTTAATTTTTAAATCTCTTTTATTTATTTATGAAGCAACAAGTTTATAAATTTTGTAAACTATATGTTTACTTGTTTTATTTTATAGACGTCTAGATTTCTATCAGAAAGGATTTTGTGGATATTATAGTAATTTCGATAGTTGAGATCATG